CCTTAGTTCGAATTTACCGCGATTCAGACGCGGTCCACACGCGGCAGGCAGGCTCCCCCGTCGACTCTGCGGTACTCCTCTCGCTGAGGTGGAGTACCGCAGTCGACGGCGAGCACTTCCTGGTTCGAATTATCGCGTCCAGACCAGACGCGATAAATCGAACCCGGAAGTTCGATTTCCAGCCGTCGAACTACCGCGGTAGTGTAGACAAGCCCTCAGACATTTGCTGCAGTGCAATGCCGAGCTAGGAGCCAAACCAACTGCTGGAGTTTAAAAAAAAAATAAAAAAGGCAGGAGGAAAAGGGGAACAACCACAGTGTAATCAGATCTGGGGCTGCTTATTATTATTTGATGTTAGCTATAGATTATTATTTTTATATGGTGCTCCTGAGAGCTGCATCAAATTGAAAATTTTGGTTTGTGAACACGCAAGCAAATTGAGCATTGACTCTCTTTCTTTCCTTCAAATGTGCTGAGTATTCTCTAGGAGAACCCTGGAAATTCTTTGCTCCCAGTTTGAAGTCTGCAGAAAGTGATTCAGTGTAGATTAAAAACAGCTTGGTTAATCATTACTGAAATATGGGAAAAATTAAAATACATTTTTTGCTTGTAAAGCAAAGAAAAGCAATAAAAACAATGCCAGACGGTTAATGCCTCTTTTGTACCTTTCATTTGAAAGACCTCAAAAGCACATCAAGATGAATAAAGGCAAAATCTATTCCCTATTGGCATCATTATACATGTTGTATCCTCTAAAACTAAAACTCTAAAGACATCCATGAAGAGTAGAGGAATAAATGGCACTGAAATGAGGAATGCATCTCTGGAGCTTTGTTCAACCGGCTTTGTTAGAATTCACTCAAATTGGATGATTACAAGAAAAGATCTCATTTGTTTCAGCATTAGGGGAGTAAATTAATATGTGGTGAATTGCTAATAATTGTTCCTTTATATTTTACATGTGTATTGTCTCCAAATTACAAAATTACTTTCTCATTATTAAAATAACAATGGAAAAAAATAAATCTGCATTTCCTTAACATCATTAGTAATTGAATCAGGAGGCTGACAGAGTAAAGCACAGAGGAGAGGTAGAGTGGTGCACTGTGGTACACTCAGAGTCAGGGATGGTTTTGCATCTCTTGGGCCAAATTCAGCTTCATGCCTGTGGGAACTACATCTGCTTACCTCCAGGGCTACATTTGGTCCCACCCAGGAGTAAATTTGGCTGCATCTGGTCAGCTGTAGTTAAGATTGCTCATGACCTTTTTTCTAATTCTCCTTGTTTCATTATTTAATGACTTGACCTTTGATTCTGTGGAGCCACTTCAGTACTAAGTACAAAGATTTAATAACTAGAACTGGCTGATAAGTGACCTTTATTACACAGACATTTCTCTTTGCTAGAGAAACAACACTGTTTTGCAAGTTTTAATTCACAGTTTTAATTATCTTTTCTATTGTCTGTAAGCTTGCACAGAAAATTGAAAGGTCAAACATTTCATTTTCCTTACTGATTAAAATGTAAGTGCTCCACAACTGTTACAATGTATCATTCAAAAAAGGTGGGACAATTTGTCAGAATCATGCCCAGCTAACATTGCTGAGGAGTTTTATATAGTTCTGGGCAACAGCACAATGAATCATTTTTACAGAGGCAAAGCAAATTATTGAAGATAATAGCTCAGAGAGAGACAGAGTTTAGGGGCTATAGAAGTATCTAAAGAGAGAGGGAGAGAAGAAAAGGTGAATGGTTGTCTATGGTCGCTTGTTTTCTTTAAGTAATATAATATCTAGATATTATGTAAATGTATTTAGGGTTTGTGAAAGTTGCCGGATTATACCTTTGATTTAAGTCCTTTAACTAAAGAATATATACAGTATCGGTCCAGGCTTCCGCACACTGGTCTGCCAATGTGCCTCAGCCCTGACATGGGATGACCGGCTCTAAAGGTGAAGACGGCATTTTGTTCTCCATGGAGTTCAGTTCTTGGCTTCTATGCTAAGGTTGCTGACAAACTAGTGTTTAATCATGATAGTATTTTTGGGATGTAGATACCTATACATAGTCACTGCTAAGTGCAGAAAGGTCATCAATGGGGTAGGTTTTTGTAATTCTCTCGTCTCCATCTCCCCCCCACCCTCTCGTCCCATATTCATGCACCTGTTACTAGAAATCCTGTCCCTGTTTCTTTCTTCTCTTTGAGCATATGACACCCTGGAGTTTTGCCATTGAGTTTAATGGAAAGAGGATCGGTCTCATATAGCACTTGGAGGGTTAGTAATACACAGGAATGGTAATATAGCATATTCAACAGGAAAAAGAGTTATAGAGCAAGAATTGTTGAAACCATCATTCTAAAAGGTGGCAATTATAAATCAGGACAACAGGCTACTGGGATACTTCCACAGAGGGCTACAATATACAGTAAGTGAAAACTGATGCATATTCTGTAGTTAGACCGCAGACGGTCTGATTCAAAGCTATTGAAGTTGATGGAAAGATGCCCATTGATTAACTTTGGATCAGGTCCACATGGAGTGCTGAGTTAAGTCTTCATTGGCTTTCCGTGGAGCTGATTGCTTTTAGAAAAGGTGCAAATTAGAACAGCTAAGGCAATTCCATCTTTTAAAAATATTTGTTCTGAGAAAGGCTAAAGAGACTGAGCCTCTTCCTGTGAAAGAGAGCAGATTGCAAGCTAACCTAATATATCAGCATTCAGAATTATGAAAGGATTTGATAAAATGGAACAAGATAAATGGATCACAACAAAAAGGTTAGAAAACTGAGGGACACCATTGCAAGTGTAAGTGTATGGCGTTTATTGAGGCAGAACAGTTTTACTCAGTGAATAGAAAACATGGAATAAATTTCCAAGTGAGACCATCAAATCAAACAATTTAAATGAGTTTGAGAGAGCTATACATTTTAATGAAGAAGGAAGGACACAGCGAGAAAGCAATAGCATGAGGCTGAGACAGCTTTAAATGGGACTAGATTCTTGAACCAAGTGATCTTTTCCTGTCCAGCAATTCCTTGTTCGTTAGTTGTTAGTTGTTAGTTTGAACTTTCATCCTAAAAAATATAAATTAATCTACCGAGACTGCAACAGTCATTTCATGGTGGTATGTGGGTTATGCTTATAGATTTCTTTAGTTCATCCATCCATGTACTCTCAGTATTTTAGGGACGATTTCTGTAACTAAGTGGTAAACAGAAAGGTGGTTGTGTTCAGCTGCATCTCCTGGGATTTCATTCATGCTGCCAGAGAGCTATTCAGGACAGCTCCCAAAGACTACCAAACATACAGCATTCTCTAAAGAAAATATTGTTGATACTTTTGTGTGCGGTCAAGCATCCTTCACTCCTGGTGAAATGAGGAAAAGACATTTTAAAAAACAGCTAGAGCACACCAATCACTCCAGCACAAGCCTTTACATCTGTGCTTAACGTTCCTTCAGGGGCCTGCTGGGTAGAACCTTTGTTCAGTTACGTATTTGTTACAAATAGGAGGCACTGTTATTATTATCATTTGGCCCTCTCCTAACCTGTTTGTCAGCTTCTGACCTCACAGTTTTCACAGCTGTGGCATTACAGTTTGTGGTCACAGAACAGATTGTGATGTCTTAGTTGGTTTCTTTCCAAGTCTGCAATTGTCAAATGTGGCTGAGACATGGATTCACATCACTGAAGTAAAGGGCTCCCACTCTGCTGCTAGCCATCCTTTAGAGGGGCAGGTAGCACGCCATAAGGCTGATGGCCCAACACTCACTGGTGTAAGAAGGCAAATGGAGGCATTTACTGCCGACAGAGAGGAAAAGAAGAGATCAGGTCACTGATCAAAGGTAAAGTTGGAGAGGATGCATTACCTGGGCTATGGGATGGATTAGGGACCAACATCAGCCCAGGTCCACTAAGCATATGTAGACCTGGCCGATTCTTCTAGGACTGGTCTGCTTTCAGGTGGATTTAGGATTCTAGATTCACATGTCACACACTTGAATTACATATAGTGCTTTTCGTCTTCTAGCTGTTTATAAAGACTTAGGGCTCAATTCTACTCTTCTTGGGCATTGGGGGGTTGTCTCACATGCATCAGGCAAACAGTATGTGAAACAGGCTAATTCCCCCAATACCCATGTGCGGTAGGAACCTATTGCTATTCCCATTTCATGCAGAGAAACAGCTCAGAGAATGTGCTCAGGTCCACAAAGAGAGTCTGTCAGAGCCAGCATTAGAAGGACTCAGGTGTTCTTGGTTTGGGATCTGAACCTGCACTATTGAATTCAATGGAAATTTTGCTATTGACTTCAGTAGGCATAGATCAAGCCTCTAGCTCACAGGTCCCCAGTCCATTTGTGTCTCATTGGCTCTTCCATGGGACATAAGTGTCCTCTGAAGAGAACCTGTATACATATAATAATGTGCTTCAGACATAAGGAGCTGTTTTATAACAGTACAGGCACGTTTTCCCATATGTTCATAGGCTCAAGCTGCAGTAGAATGCCTGCTGGAGAGCCACTTCAGAGCTGACTTTTATCACAGATTAAATATCCATTCATCCAGACCTATAGATGAAATATGCAATCCGTGCACAGCTACATTTCCTTCATTCTTTTTTCTGTTTTTAAATCTATGACTGACAACAATCTCTTACAAGGGAACAAAACATCCATCTAAATATTATTTACATGTTTCTTATTTCAAATTCTTTTAATTGAAAGGAAAAAATACATAGTGGAAGAAAAATTATTACTTTCCAGTTGACTTTGAAATGAGGAGAACAGAAGCAGAAGATTAGTGTGTGCTGATTCGTTTAGTAGAAAAGGATCTCATTCAGGGCTTCGGAGCAATAGACTTTACCGCCCTCTCCTCTACACAGGATTGATGTGCTTTGAGAGAATCTTGCTCCCAGTTTGTTGACTATTTACTTCTTTTAACTAAATTTTCAATCTCAACGTGTAAGGACCTGTCATCTGTTTTGTTCTCTCTCTTTCAGCCTCTCCAGCTAGACTGTGACGTCTGTGCCATTGTTTCGAACTCGGGTCAGATGGCTGGTCAGAAAGTGGGAATTGAAATTGACCAGTCCTCCTGTATATGGAGAATGAACAATGCTCCTACCAAGGGTTATGAGGTGGATGTTGGGAAGAAGACGACCATACGAGTGGTCTCACACACCAGTGTTCCCCTATTGCTCAAGAATCCCGATTACTTTTTCAAGGAAACCAATAGCACGGTATATGTCATCTGGGGGCCTTTTCGAAACATGAGGAAAGATGGCAATGGCATTGTGTACAACATGCTGAAGAAAGCTGTTGACAGCTACCCCGATGCCAAAATCTATGTGACAACAGAAAAGCGCATGAATTACTGTGATGGGGTATTTAAGGAGGAGACCGGAAAAGATCGGTAAGTCCTGCCTGTGAAAAGTTACTCTGACGTTAATGACAAAAGATAGGCAAGAAAAGGCCATCTTGCATGCCAGCTATTCAGTGAGCCCCCAGATATGTTTTTAATGGATTCTTATATGTTTTTGACTGTTACGAGCGCTTGATGAGGCAGCAGACAGGCCCCATTTATCCCACCTACGCTACCTTCTGTTCTTTCCATTTTTGTTGGCCTGGATCCCAAAAAATATTGGATACCTTCCTAAATCCTTTCCAGAGCTGTTTGTTGTTTTCAGCTCAATTTAATATTGATTAAATTGACATGTTATTTAAAGAGGGGAGGCCTACACAACATCATTCCTATACATACAACCTCAGGACAAAGGGGGGGAAGAGGTCTTATGTTTACCTCTCTTGTCATGATACCCTGTAGCTTTACCTCAAATCCAAATAATTCTGTTCCAGTTAAAATAGATTATCAGGCATATCACCAAATGGCTAGTGTTTCTAGTAAAAGTATACCAAAGTTATATACCCCTGGCTTGTGGAGAACCATGTGTGTGGTTATGCTGCTCCAAGAGGGTGCTATATGCATGATGGAAGGTCAGTGTATTCCCCCTGTACAGTACAGAGTGAGCTCTACAGAGGCCATCTGTACAGCAGCATGTGGGGTTGGGGCTAGAGAGGGCTGTGGTAAGATTGGGGCTGGAGGATCTGCCATGATCTATCCCAATCCCATCCATGGAAGAGTGTGCTGGGAGAAAGGCTTCTTTAGTCCTTCACCCTGCACTCTCCCCCACCCCACAACCACACACACATTAGCAATCAAGTAACATTCCTGTGTCACCACAACAATTGTTTCCTATTATTACTTTTCCTAGTAAAACTATTAAATGTATCATTAGCTTCATTTAATGTGATTTGCGTGGGGGAAAACAAGGAAAGCAAGCATCATGTCACCAGCTGGGACTCCTTGTACCCCAAGACAACACTCCACAAACCACTCGTGGTCTGTGGCCCACATTTGGAAACTACTGACAGGGCCGGCTCCAGGGTTTTGGCCGCCCCAAGCAGCCCCAAAAAAAAAAAAAAAA